TTGTTGCTGCATTTATTTTGTCAGGGAAAACTAATCCAGTCAGTTAAAAGTCAGGGAATTCTGAAATTATGTAAGACTGTGGAAGCCCTATAAAATAACTATGTATAATGATTCTCTAGAAAAGTCACATTATATTAATAGTATTATCTTGTATAAACATACCGTGACTCTAAAATATGTTATTCATTTGGGACATTGACTTCTGTCATGTGATTTATCTTAAGTTTTTAACCTGTCACGTTTTTTTTCTTTTTAGATTTTGAACATTACAATTTATATTTTTCCAAACACACAACAGTTTAAAGCAAAGTTTAGTTTGAAAAGAATGTGCAAAAAGGATTGAAAAGCATGTTAACATGGTAATGTAGGCTTGAGTTCATTATCTGACGATTGCATATACACACCAGGAACCTGGAAACTTAAAAAATACTGAATTACAAAAAACATTTAAAAAGTTTAATTGATATATATACAAAAAATGAATATTAGAAACTATATTTATCAAACATTATACTGGGTAAGTAAAAAAATCCTTAACGTCAACCCCTGGATGTTAATTTAGTTCGGATCCTTTTGTTTCCCACCTCGTGCACTGAGTCCAGAGGGCATCCAATCACAGAGCTGCGCTTACTCACTGTGCTTTAAAATTATAGTGTGTACTGGGAGCCGATCCTCAAATGAGAACGGTCATTAAAAAAAAGAAAGAATGTTGGCAAACCTGTATGACCTGCATTATAACAAACAATTCTACTCAAACTTTGCTTTGCTCCTTAAACAGAAAAAAGTCAGTCTATTTGGATACGATAAGCCTAAATGTGGACTGGAGAAAACATTCAAACACATTTAGAGAACAAAATATTTATTTTACAAACATTAGAGCTTATAAATTCATACGTATTAATCACGAGAAACTGCTTTGAAATGCTTCATTTTACAGTTTTTCTTAGTACATGATAAGTTGAGACACACTGTTCAGTTTAATCCAAACTCTGATCATTTGCTGTTTTTATAGGACTGACTGCAGAAACAACAGCTCTGATTAATAGAAAGGAAAAGAACAAAGTCTATGGAAGCAGCTTGATGGACCATCTCTTCAGATCAAGCTGGGCTCATAATCAAAACATTTGATTTAGTCTCAAATTAACTCAACCTAAGTATACTAGAGCTTCACAAAAAGCTCCTACAAGGCCTCACAGCCTGGCTTTGACCGACGCCACCTGGAGGTTCTGCAGCTTCATGGCCATGCCCATGTTTCCGGTGATCTTCAGCTGCCCCTTGAAGAACGCCTGATGTAACCAGAGAAAAAGGGACAAAAGTAGGACATCAGTTTTAATACAGCTGATATTTTGATACAAAAAGCAGGTCATTGATAAAACTCAAATTGGAAAAAGTTTTAGTTTTCAATCAAGAAACTGAGAATCGTAGATTTTATTACAACCTTTTTCTATTAATCCATCATATTACTTTACTGAATATAAAGTCCTGATGATATAATTTTATCCCCTGCATGCTGGAAGCAAACTTTCTCTACATAAAAAGTTTCTTTTTGGGACCTAAAAAAGGTTAGATTTTAAAAATATGTCGTACAGTGAACCCTCGCTATAACGCGGTTCACTTTTAACAGTCTGCTTCACGGATTTGCATCATGCATTGTTAAACTTTGTCAATCATAATCGATGGTGGCATGTCGGTTTATAAGGATCTTTTGGCCCAGAAGAAAAAAAGAGCGACAACAACTACCGATAACTATGTTCTTCTCTCCAAAAAACACACCTGTGTACTGTACACGTCAGTCACTATTTGTCCTACTGTTCTTAATATTAATATTAACCCTTCAGCAGAGATGGGAAGTAACGAAGTACAAATACTTCGTTACTGTTCTCAAGTAGATTTTTCT